CCTCAAACAGGCCTGGCTCAAGCTCTGTCCCCAGCCCCAGAGGACACTTAGTCCAGGATGGCATGCACTGTTGGAGATGGGCGATAAGTGGCGGATCTTTCGAGTGAGGGTCTTCTGTGAAAAGCTTCTTAACCACATCTGAGCCCCAGACCTGGCAGAAGGCTGGAGAGGCAGTGACTGGGGTTATCAAGGGCAAAGGAAGGCTGGCTCCCCAGAACCATACACAGGTGAGGAAAGTCCTTAGGTGTCATGTCTGTGCTTGGCAGGCTGGTGCACTCTCTTGGCCTTAGTTTGTCTATTTTAAGAATGAAATTTGGGAATCAATCATGTCTAAAGATTTGTCTCTGATCCTGAATCAGTTGTTGGGGAAGGGGAGATGGGAAATTGACCACTGGCCTACTCCTGCCTGCTGAGCTCTGGGTTCCTGCCTCTGACTTGGCTCAGCCCCAGATTCCTGGACATGGCCCCGCACTCACTCTTCTTGCAGGAGGTGCATTTGCACTCTTTGCACGTGCAGGACTCAGCGCAGGTGCAGGAGCCACCTGCAAGGAAGAGAAAAAGGCAGTGAATTTGATAAAGACAGCAGCAGTTGGTCAACAAATACTCCCAGCTGAGTGCATTGCCAGGCCGGATAGACAGATAGCTCCTGTTGGACTCAGGGCACCATGAAGCCTGACCTTACTTCTATCTCTAGAGGCTAGGATGGGCTTTATGTCCTTAATCCTGAAACGACAACAACCCCTGTCTCCTATCCACCCCAGGAACGGCACAGTGTATTGGGGCTCAGCCTAGCAGCCCCCGACTACCTGGGTGACATGGAGCAGGAGAATTATGAGCCTGAGTTCTCTCGCCTCTGAAATGGGAGGTATTAGAATAGGAATGTTCTAGGGGTGATGAAGGCGCTGAGAGGAAAAGCACTAGATCAATGAAATGAATGGCTCCACTTAGCTAGAACTCAAAAAACACCTCTACTCCTAGGGGCATCGATCCTGTGGCGGGGAAATAGGTACCCTAAGGACCAGAAACCCAGGATCCCTTACCAGTGGTGCAGGAGCAGTTGGGGTCCATTTCGAGCCGTGGAGAGGTTGGAGATCCCAAGCAAGAAGTTGAAAGCCTATAAGGCACACGTGGAAGGCGTGGTTGAGAGCCTATAAGGCACACGTGGAAGGCGTGGTGGAGCCCCACAGCCAGCGGCTGCTTTAATAGTCAGGGGAAGAGGGCCGGGAGCAAAGGCCCCGCCCCGCGCTTGCACCCGCCGGGCGCTTGCACCCGCCAGGATGAGTCGGCCCCGCCCGAGGTCCTGGGCTGGGCTGTGCGCAGTAGAAGGGTCAGGCGCACAGTTCCCTGAGTAGCGCTGGGTGCCGACCGCGGGACCACCCCCGCCCCCCACTTTGGCGCACCGCTAACTGGCTTTGCGCCCGGGGTACGCGGTCTCCCCGAGGTACCAGCCGCTTTTCCCAGTTTCCCCAAAGTTGCCTTCCACCCTAGTCCCCGCGCGTTCCGGGAACCCAGCTTGGCGTCTCGTTAGTCTCCCCCCCACCCCTCGCACCGTTTTCAGCTCGGCAGGTCCAGAAGTCTGTGCGCAGCCACAGCCTCCCGCTCCCGCTCCCGCTCCCGGATCGGCGGAGTGCGGAGTGGGGACCGGGAGGTAGCGAGCGAGTTGTGTGCAGAGCCCCCGCCACCAATGTGATTTTCGTTTCTCCTCGCCCGCGCCTTGCCTGTCCCTGTCCACACCTAGGTCCCTCGGACCTGCTCCTCCGTACACATTAACACGGGGAACACGGGTCGGCCTCTCTCGCTTCCTTTCTCCTCTCCTGAGAGGATGTGGGGGCACATTTATCCAGGACCTCCTTTGCAAATAAACCTCCTTGCTCCCCACAGCCTAGCCAGGCTCCCCACTACCGGTTGGCAGTTCTGGACATGTGGGAAACCCCAAAAATGAGACGATTTCATGTGATGTGCTGACCCTGCTTTAAATTTAAAAGCAAGATGGGGGAGGTAACAGGAAGCTGTAGTCCAGGCTACTTAGGAGGCTGAGGCGGAAGGATCACCTGAGCCCAGTAGTAGGAGTCCTGCCTGGACAACACAGGGAGTCAACGTCTCTAAAAAAATAAAATTAAAAAGCAAGACATCCAGTTATTTCTCTTCAGTATACCTGACTAAGGCATAACATTGAGTGTATACCTGTCCCTTTCTAATCACTTTCATTCATTCACAGCCAGCTGTGGAGTGACCCGCCAGAGGAAGAACTCAGCCTTCACTATGCGATGGCACCAAGCCATTCTTTAGAGATCTGTCCTCAACCCTAAAACCTCCCACTAGGCCCCACCTGCAATATTGGAGGACACATTTCAACATGAGATTTGGCAGTGACAAAATATCTAAATCATAGCCCTCATGTAGGATTCAAGAAACTAGGAACTTGGGTTCCAGCAATATAGCCACTTTGAAGCCCAAAATCCAAGTGGATCTCAAGTTGTGGAGGAAAATCAGAAAATAAAAATAAGGGGTGAAGTTTCTGTGCCACACTGGGAATGAGACAAAGCGATCATGTATGGCCCCCACAGTGCAATACCATTTTACAGAAATGTAAACTCAGTGAGGTAGCCTGGCTGGCCTGAAAGTTTTCACGTTATTAGTGGCTCATATTTCCATCCAGAGCCTGGTATCTAAACTCGTGGTTTAACCTCCCACCCAAGTCCATTTTCTGTAAGACACACAAAGAAGACCAGATTAAGATTCAAGTCAAAATTGTTTTATTGCCATTCACATATTTAATATAAAAAGAAATGCAGAAAATGGCTCAGGGTTGTATTAAAAAAAAAATCCAGGTTTGCTCTCTTTACATCTGGGAGCAGAGCTCTTCCCACATCAGGCACAGCAGCTGCACTTCTCCGACGCCCCTTTGCAGACGCAGCCCTGGGCACACTTGGCACAGCCCACGGGGCAGCAGGAACAGCAGCCTGGGGAAGAAGAGGAGAGTGAGAGGTGGCAGTAGACTGGACCAGGCACCTCCCTGCCCCAATAGCAAGCCTGGCTTGAGCTCAGACGCCAGACCCAGAGGATGCTTTTTTCGTGCGGCACAGCTCTGTTCTGAAACCAGAGATGGTACAGTTGGGGTTTGTGTCCCAAGAGAAAAAGGTTTCCCTGCCCCATCTGAACTCAGGGCAGAAAGCCTGGAGAGGGAACGACATGGCCAACAGGGGCAAAGGAAGCCCAGTTACCCAGAATCAGGCACTCAGTGTCAGCTTTGGGTTCCCTCCCAACCTTAGCCACAGCCCCAGATTCCTGGAGATGGCCCCGCACTCACTCTTCTTGCAGGAGGTGCATTTGCACTCTTTGCATTTGCAGGAGCCGGCGCAGGCGCAGGAGACATCTGCAGGGAAGAGAAAAACGCAGTGGGCAGTGAGTGAGATGCAGAAGGTACAGCAGTGGGTCAATGAGTCTCCAGTGCCCTCTCCTCTGTGCAGGGCCAGCCCTCAGAGCTCCTTTCCCACTCAGGACAGAGGAATAGAGGCCCCATGTCCTCCCCACTCACACTGGGAAGCGCAAGCACCCTTCTGTTTCACCCCACCAGGAAGGTCCCTGCTGCACACCCAACCCAGGAATACTGAGATTGCGAGCCACAACCTTCTGTCTTGAACTCTGAAGACTCTATGTCTCTAGCCCCCCATCCACCCTGATTGCTCAGAGCCTGGAGGAGAACATTGGTGCCCAGCCAGCAGGACCCTGACCAACTGGGTGATGTGAAACAGGACTGCCTTGAGCCTCAGTATCCTTAACTCTGACTTAGAGGCCCAGCGGGGAGGGCAATGCTCTCAGGGGCGTGATCAGAAAGAAAGCACCTAAGGAAGTAAAGGAGTCCCCTTCTGCTCAGAACTTAAAATGCGACCTCCTCAAACCCAGAGACCCTCTGAACTGGGGCTGGAAAATGGGAAACCCAGGGCGCAGAGTCGGGCTTCTCTTACCAGTGGCGCAGGAGCAGTTGGGGTCCATTTCGAGCCGCGGTGAGGCTGGAGATCTTAGCGAGAAATCGAGAGACAGCAAGGCGCACGTGGACGGCGTGGTGGAGCGCCACAGCCTGGGGCTGCTTTTCTATTCAGGGAAGGGGGCCGGGCGCAGAGGCCCTGCCTCGCGCTTGCACCGGCCCTGCTGGGTTCGCGCCGCCTGCGGTACTAGACTGGGCTGTGCGCAGCAGAAGGGCCGGGGGCACCATCTTCTGAGCTCCGCTGGGGAAGCGCCGCGGAACCGCCCCTTTGGAGCCAGTTCGCTCCCAGGGGCTGTGCGCCCGGCGGTACGCCCTGTCCCCGAGGTCCTGGCCGCCTTTCCCAGTTTCCTCGAAGTTGCCTTCCACCCTCCTCCCCGCGGGTTCCGGGACGCCAGCCTTGGCGACTGGAGCGTCTCCACCCCACTCCTCGCCCCGCCGTTTTCAGCTGGGCCTGTCCCGGAGTCTGGGTGCAGCCCTCCTGCTCCCGTCCCGGGATCGGCTGAGTGCGGAGCGGGGAGCCTGCGGTAGCGAGCGAGTTGTGTGCAGAGCACCCGCCACCGATGTGGCTTTCGTTTCTCCTCGTACCCCCGCCTTGCCTGTCCCTGTCCACACCGCGGTCCCTCTGACCCGCTCCTCCGTACACAGCAAGACGGGGAACACGGGTTGGCCTCTCTCTTCCGTCCATTCTCCTCGCCTGAGAGGATGTGTGGGCACATTTGTCCAGGTCCTCCTTTGCAGATAAGTCTCCATGCTCCCCACAGCCTAGCCGGCCACCCCCACTGCTGGCTGGCAGTTCTGGACATGTGGGATGTCCCCAAAGACAGATGACTTCAGATGACATGCAGACCCTGCTTTAAATTAAAAAGCAAGGTGGGGAAGGTGGTGGAAAGCTGTAGTCCTACCTACTTAGGAGCCTGAGGTGGGAGGATCACTTGAGTCGAGGAGTTCGAGTCCTGCCTAGTCCATATAGCGAGTCACTGTCTCTAAAAAAAAAAAAAAAAAAAAAAAAAAAAAAAAAAAAAAAAAAAAAAGCAAGACATCCAGTTATTTCTCTTCAATATACCTGACTATTGCATGACATTGAGTCTACACCAGTCCCTTTTTAATCACTTTCATTCTTTGAATCCTCACAGCAATTCTAAAGGGAAATACTAATTATGAACCCGTTTTGCTAATCATGGGACTGCACAGAAAAGAGTAACTGGCTGGTCGTCACAGAGGTAAACAGTTGTGCACTGATTTAAATCCAGCCAGCCTCTTAACGGAAAGTGTCCATGATCAAGTCTTCCTTTAGCCCAAGTATGTCATCAACACTTCTCTATTGCTGGAAATTTTTTAAAAAACAGGGGCTGGCCCAGTGGCTCACACCTGTAATCCCACACTTAGGAAGGCCGAGGCTGATGGATCACTGAGGTCAGGAGTTGGAGACCAGCCTGGCTAACATGGCTAAACCCTGTTTCCACTAAAAATACAAAAATTATTCTGGTTTGGTGGCAGTTGCCTGTAATCCCAACTGCTCAGGAGGTTGAGGCAGGAAAATCACTTGAACCAGGGAGGCAGAGTTTGCAGCTTGGGCCATTTCACTGCAGCTGGGCGAAGAAGGTGAAACTCTGTCTCAAAAAATAGAGATGAAAAACCCCCAAATAAACAACAGGAAGCTACCAGCTCTATGATGGACAGTGGCAAAAGCGATCCATAAGTGTAATACACACACACACACACACACATTAATTTGGGGCTATCTTCCATGTGTGGGACAAGATTGATTTTCGCTTTCTCTGATAGAAGAGTTTGATTTTCATAAAATATGTGTATGAAAGTATTAATCATTTCAGTGTAAAATATTAACTAAAAAATTATGCAAGTGGTAACAGAAAGGGCAGTCATTCTTCTGTATCTGACATGAAGCACAGAATCTTGCTCATAGCTTTATAACGCTAATGTTGATTGCAATATTATGGGAACACTGAATGGCTCTCTTTGGACCACAGGACATGTTCTCATGTGGCAGATGAGAATAACAGGATACGCAGCTGAGCACTCCAGGCCTTTGTGTGCAAATAAATAAATATCCCCTATGCGCCATAAAATGATCAAAAAAAGCAATAGCTAATATTATAGACCCCACACCACTCACACCATTCTAAGTTGCTTGTAGGCATTAAGTTCTGGGCTGGGCTGTGTGCTGCAGAAGGGCCAGGGGACCCCTTTGGCGCCGGTTCACGCAGGAGGGGCTGTGTGCCTGCGTCCCTGAGGTCGCGGCTGCCTTTCCCAGTTTCCTTGAAGTTGCCTTCCGTCTACCTCCCTGCGCATTCTGGGATACCAGCCTTGGCTTCACAGGAGTCTCCTTTATACCTCCATAATACAAAGGTTAGTATTATGCCCCTTGTGCGGTGGAGGAGACTGAGCCATAGACAGGTTGTGCCATGCAGCTAAAAGTAACAGAGGTGGGATTTGCACTCATGCATGCTGACGGCAGCATCATACACTCACCCACCACCCTCTGCCACCAAGTTACATGAAGGATGAGGACATAGAAAACCTAGCACAGGGGCAGCAATAGGAGGTGCACTCTGTGGACAGGAATGTCCCCCTGCACAGCTCTGTAACATCTCTGAGTTTCAGTTCTCATCTGTCAAGCCAAGAGCAACGTTCGTTCATGCCAAAGAGTCTTTGTGTCTTTGAACTGAGATAAGCAAGATTTAGCATCCAGTGGCGTCATAATCTACCAGCCGTGGCCAGGGCCACAGGCCAGGTGTAGCATAGGTTCATTCGTCACTTGACTTCTGAGCTGTGTGACACTGGGTAGGTTACTTAACTAATCTGGAAGACAACATAAGCACTCCGGGCCCTGCATATTTGCTGTCCCAGTCTTGAGGCCTGTGGCTCTCATTCCGGAAGTCGTGTGATCAGATGATATGAAGGATGGGAACAGATTTTATGTCTGCTCAAATGTAGGGGCAGCATCTTATTGAAAAGCACTTTCCGCAGAAGGTCGTCCACACTGCTGGCAGGGTCAGCGAGGTTGCAGTCCCATTCCCAGCATCCAATTCACAGCAGTGCTTTCAAACCCATAAGGTTTCTCTTAGCTTTGGGATTTAACAGGCTTCATTCTCTAAAAAAGGCAGTATAGAGAGAATGATCATCATTGCTACTATTTATTAAACCCTAGCCTTGGGCCAGATTATGCTGTCATGTAATCCCTGCTTTGAGATATAATCTGCTTTCTACAAATAAGGAACTGGAGGCTCAGAGAGTTTCAGTGATGCACTCAGGCCACACAGCCAGTACATGGTGAGGTGGGCTATGAACCAGGACTGCCTGACCCCAAAACCCGTGGCCTAGGTGCAAGCTGCCTTCTGAAATCTCATCTTCACAGGGAAGCAGTGGGCAAGCGTGGTCCTGACCTCCAGGACAGAAGGATCATCTTCCTCTTTGATTGAACATCAAATAGCGTTCCCTCCACATAGCCAGGGAAACTGACTGTTGGTTTTAATTACAAGCCAGCCAGGGCCTTACTCCTTCCTACTGAGCACCAACACACCCTCCAAACTGCAGAATCCGCCGTCATTTCTGCATGAGCAGGCGTGAAGCATTTCATGTGGAACCCATGATCACACACACTTCATTTTGCCAGGGACATGCCAGGCATGTCCTTCCATATTCCCAGTCACTTTACTGGTTGGAAGTAGTCAAGGGCTGAAATTTGAAAGAAGGGCAAATTCAGCCTGAGTTTGGGAGGAATTTCCAAAGATTCAGAGCCCAGTCACAACAGGGAGCTCTCAGGGGTCAGCGAGTGTCCTGTCAGTGACACTGGGCAGACCAAGCCTGATGGTTCCTTGTGGGGATGTGCTGGGCAGTGCTGCTCAAGGTGTGAGAGCCACACACTGGGGCCAGTTTGCTGTTTCCTTTCTTTTCTTGTTTTGAGACAGGGTCTCAGTTGCCCAGGCTGGACTGTAGTGGCACAATCGTGGTGTACCACAACCTCCGCCTCCGGGGTTCAGGCAACTCTTATGCCTCAGCCTCCCGAGTGGCTGGGGTTACAGATGCATGCCATCATGCCCTATTAATTTTTGTATTTTTAGTAGAGATGAGGTTTCATCATGTTGGCCAGACTGGTCTTAAACTGCTGGCCTCAAGTTATCCACCTACCTTGGCCTCCCAAAGCGCTGGGTTTATAGGCCTGAGCCACCATGCCTGGTCTGGTTTGTTGTTTCTGGGCCACAGTGCACATCATCATATGTTCAAAGTTTGTACAACTTTCATTTTCCTATTTCTTTATGGATTTATTGAACTGCTTTCCTGTTGGATCTAAAAAATGGGTTTTGTATGTGGTGTTTTATCTCATTATCTCTACGATTGATACTATTACATTTACCAAGGTTTAAGTCTGTGATGGGTAGGAAGTAAAAACTGTCCTTCACCAAAGTGTTTGAAAAGCCCCATTGTGCTAGCCTGTTTGCATTGCTCTAATGGAATCCCTGAGACTAGGTAATTTATAAAGAAAAGAAGTTTGTTTTGATTTCTGCTTCTGCAGGCTGTGCAGAGTGTGGTGCAGGCATCTGCCTCTGATGAGGGCTGCAGGAAGCCTGCAATCCTGGCAGAAGACCAAGGGGGAGCAGGTACATCACATGGAGAGACAGGGAGCAAGAGAGAGAAGGGGACGGTGCCTGGCTCTTTTAAACAGCCAGCTCTGGAGTGACCTACCAGAGGAAGAACTCACTCTTCACCATGGGATGGCACCAAGCCATTCTTTAGGGATCTGTCCTCACGACCCCAAAAGCTCCCACTTGGCCTCACCTGCAATATTGGAAGTCACATTTCAACATGAGATACGGCAGTGACAAAACATCAAAAGCCTAGCACCCTTGTAGGATTCAAGGAACTGAGGAGTTGAGTACCAACACTGTAGCCACTTTTAAGCCTCAAATCCAATGTGGATCTGAGGTTGGGCAGGAAAATCAGAAAAGAAAAATGAGGGATGCAGTTTCTGTGCTACATTTGGCATGAGACTGGAAGCGATCATGTGTGGTCCCCACCCATATGGTGTGCACAGTGCAATCCCATTTTACAGAAGTGTAAACTCAGTGAGGCAACCTGACTGGCCTGAAAGTGTTCACATTATTAGTGGCTCACATTTCCATCCAGAGCCTGGTATCTAAACATGTGGTTTAACCCCCACCCAAGTCCATTTTTTTCCAAGACACACAAAGAAGACCATAGTAAGATTCAAGTCAAAATCGTTTTATTGTCATTCACATATTTAATATCAAAAGACATGCAGCAAATGGCTAGGGGTTGTATGTAAAAAAACTTCCAGGTTGTGCTGGTTGCTCTATTTACATCTGGGAGGAGAGCTCTTCCCACATCAGGCACAGCAGCTGCACTTCTCCGACGCCCCTTTGCAGATGCAGCCCTGGGCACACTTGGCACAGCCCATGGGGCAGCAGGAACAGCAGCCTGGGGAAGAAGGGGAGCGTGAGAAG